ATCGGCACGCAATTATCATTTCTGAAAATTAATTCATTTAAATGAATTTACAATAGTTCAACATCTTAACGTTCTGACCGTTATGGCGCTTCTTAATTTAAAATTATTATGTTTAACATTAGCGGTCTTTCAATCTTATTAAAAATATAATAAACAAGGAATGAAAGCATTACTTCCCAGAGAATAAGTCCATATATAAATCGTTGAGAGACATTGTATCATTTTGTAAATTAAGACCTAATTTTTGTCTTTTTATATATATCATCTCAGATAACAATCTTTTATGCCAAATTTTTTCTCTATCCAACATCTGCATGTTATCCCAATCAAATTCATGAGAATCATTTAATCGATGCTGTGTAATCACAGATAACTGCGTGATATTTCTATTAATGTGGTTTTTATGTTCATTATCCGAGTTTTTAGACATCTACTAGTTTGTCCTACATAAGACGCCTCACAATCCATACAATTAGAACATTGTTAAAATGATTACTCTCCTTTCATTTTAAAAACCAAAAACGACCTCGTACTCCCATCGCTTTTCAGAGATCACATGTGGTCCAGTTCCGAGTTATAAGGATTAAGTTCCTTTACTCGAAATTAGGACCGACGTATGCACTGCTCGTAGGAAACAGGTGTTATAGTGTCCCTTCGGGACGTTGATCCATATTCCGGAGCGATAAAAAGTGCGTCCGACTCTCAGGTATTCGCCTCTGCGCGTATACCTGTGAGATAAAGTCTGCACGTCCTTCCATACCCTCTCCATCTCTATCCTTGTCTCTCTCATTCGATATCTAATTTCCAAGGGCTTGGACGTAACAATCCATTATTTATCATTTCACTTATTGATAGCAAAGGATCTAGCGGAATAAGTACGATAAAAATGCCCCCACGGCTTTTAGAGTTAACCTATTTTTTTCTAAGATTACTCATATAAAAAGACACTTACATATCAAATTTTAGGTTTCTATATGGAGATACCTGATCAATAAGTTACAGCGAAAAAACCATTTTTAACAAATTTACGAATTTAATTTAGTAAAAATTCAAATAAAATTCTGAAAAAATTCTGAAAAATTGGTTACTCCAAAACACTTATGAGGATTTTTTTAAAATCTTTTCAATGCAGAATTTCAATTCTGCAAAAAATAAAAATAACATTTAAATATTTTTTCACCCCAATTCCGTTGATTCACCACCTTAAAAAAATTTCATGTCAATTTCTGTTCAACTTGTCTAAAAAATATATTTTTTTTAGATTTTTTCGAAATATGGGCCACATTGAGAAAAATTCAATTATATTTTTTCGTTAATTTGATGAAATAATGAGCAACCGTCTTTATCTGATCTTTAATATTTTATTTATCTATAAAATTTTCTCTCTTTTCATATTAAAATATTTTGATGAACACAAATTGAAAGTGACATCCTCATTTTTCAATCATTGAAATGTAGTTATTTTTATTTAATTAATTACGAATTATATTTAAATGTTAGATTATCGTTTTTAAAAAATAAGGGTGGTGGTGTTATAACTAGATGTTCAACTTGCTTTACTCTGCCGATGAAATGTTCCGTGATACCCGAAACGTTCGGTTTTACATTTAATGTTAAAGTGAATTTATTTTGATCAAATTAGAATTTTTGGTCGTTCACAATTATTGGCCTTTTATTAATTAATGTAATTACATTTATATTCTGACACACACAGTTATCTCATATATTATACTAATATATCATACAGGGTGGTCCACGTAAAGCGTTACAAGCTAATACTCTAAAAATATTTGTCCTATCAAAAAGTTGTTCATGAGAAAGTTTCATATATTCGAGGGGCCTTTCTAATTACGTAAACAAAAATCCATCCCCGTTCCCTCTTGAAGAGCGGCGGAGGGTAACTTCGAAGTTTCAAATGGGACCCCCTCTAAAATGTTACATATTTGGATTTTACTAAAACTTTTCTTTGGGAAAAACAAGTAAACTTTGTTTGAAATATTTCGTTGGAAAATGCTCTTATCAAAAGTTATGAACATTTAAACCTTTAGCTATTTTATTCATGATTGAACTCCATTGACACAAAATTGTGTTCATAATACAATGAAAACGAAACCGACTTTGATGTTAACCAAAAGAAACATAAATATACACATTTATCGGGAAACATAAATACAGATCTACTATGTATTTAGTCAATTATGAGCTGATTTTCATGCTATCAAGTTCGAAAATCATGGCTCATTTTGACGTGGAAGTTAATATTTTGTTAATTCTGAGAGAAGGTGAGAAAAATTATTGAAGTGCAGCGCAATCATTTTTAGAACGTTATAATATTAAAAAATCGCATATGGCATTTCTTCGTTTAAAAAATCGTTTGCGTGTACGCGTGTACATGGTCAATTAAGTGCAATTAAAAGACAAAAAGCAAATCCAATAATTAATAATGATAATTATGCTAATATTCTCGCTGCAGTTGAAGTAAATTCACATGTCAATCAACGCGAATTAGCAAACACATCTAGAGTTGGACGATCTTCAATACAGCGGATTTTGAAGAAAACAAAAACTTCATCCGTATCGTTTGATTTTGACTCAGGAACTTTTGGAAACTGAATGTCGTGTAATATTTTGGATGCGTGATGCCATGATAAATGATTTATTTTTGCAAAATATTCTTTTTTCTGATGAAGCAACATTTATTAAGGTGAATCCAGAAATGTTGTTTAGAGTTAGGCAAAGTTTTGTGAAAAGAATTAATAAGTGTTTAGATGTTCATGGTCAGAAAATTTAATAAAATAAAAATAACAGAAAAACTATAAGTCTTATTTAATTTATCATTAATTTCAATGCACTCTACATTAGAGTTTAAATGTTCATAACTTTTGACTGAAGCATTTTTCAAAGAAAAGTTTCAGACAAAGTTTACTTGTTTTTTCCCGAAGAATCCAAATATGTAACATTTTACAGGGAGTCTCATTTGAAACTTTGAAGTTACCCTCCGCTCCTCTTCAAGGCGGGACGGGGGTGGATTTTTGTTTACCTAGTTAAAAAGGCCCCTCGAATATATGAAACTTTCTCATGAACAATTTTTTGATAGGACAAATACTTTTAGTTATTAGCATGTAACGCTTTACGTGGGCTACTCTGTATGATATATTAGTATAATATATGATAACTGTGTGTGTCAGAATATAAATGTAATTACAATAATTAATAAAAGGCCAATAATTGTGAACGACCAAAAATTCTAATTTGTTCAAAATAAGTTAACATTAAATGTAAAACCGATCGTTTCGGATATCACAGAACCCTTCATCGGCGGTGTGAAGCAAGTTGATCATCTAGTTATAATACCTCCACCTTATTTTTTAAAAACAATAGTCTAACGTATAAATGTAATTTGTAATTAATTAAATAAAAATAACTGCCTTTCAATGATTGAAAAGTAAGGATGTCACTTTCAATTTATGTTCATTAAAATATTTTAATATGGAGAGAGAGAGAATTTTATAGATAAATAAAATATTAAAGAGCCGATAAAGACGGTTTGTGTTGCTCATTATTTCATCAAATTAACAAAAAAATATAATTAATTTTTCTTAATGTGGCCCATCTTTTGAAAAAATCTAAAAAAAATATTTTAAAAAGTTTTAAAAATGGAGTTGAATTTGCAACATCCTTGGTTTTTTGATTCGATCGAACAGAAAAAAATCGCAGGGAGCCATATCGGGTGAATTTGATGGCTGTTGAATGGTATTCGTTTCATTCTTGGTAAAAAATTCACGGATGTTGCAAATTCAACTCCATTTAAAACTGTAAAAAATCGAAAACCGCGCAGAGGTAGATGTACTCAAGACGGCGTAACTTTTACAAATGTCAAGCTATGACGATAAAATTTGGTGGAAATGTCAATGATAGATGTGGCAACCTAACCAAAAAAAACAGAACTCAAATCAACTGACTCAGAGCATCACCTGGTGGTAATTCCGGGAACTTTTTGATCAAGATGGTATTTGCTCATGGTTACACATAGAAAGAAAGAGTACCAACAATGTAGAAAAACTGTAGACTCTATCTTACATCACGTCTAAGTGAATATATATGGATTTTCCTACACATATCCTAACAAAAAAGAACCGGAATGAACATCGAGTGTCTGTTACTGCGATGCTTGGTTCCAACTACCTGAAGGCGAGTCATAGGTACAATGCATCGTATACTCATTTTGCGTGCGTACTGGCTGTGTCTGTTTGTATTTTAGAAATATTAAATAAAAATTTTTAAGGTGGCTTTTTAGTAAAGTGTCGAAAATTTAGGGTGCCTCATCTCCATACAGTATAGAACATTGAAAGAATGTTGCTAAGATGTTGCAATGTTGAATGTCGAAGTGTCAATGTTTTATTAATGTTGTATCTATATTGATTCTTCTATATTGATTGTTAATAAATCCGTATAACAAATCAAACTAACAAAGACTCCTTATAAATCAAAAGAAATTGGAAAGAATAAGAGCAATAGGAGTCAGGCGCAGAAGACGTCGCGCAAATAATACGTAAAGCGTAAAAACTTTTTTATTCTATTAAACGCGCATACATGTTTCGGCACTTTTGAGCCTTCTTCAGAGACACCACAAATTAACATATATAAACTGTGAATAAAAGTTATCTTGTCATGGTGAGCTCCTCTACATCGAGAATTTAAATGCCAGAAATTAAACCCAAATAAGAATGAAAGAAAAAGAAAAAAAAATAAAGGAAATATTGGAAATATCGAAATAGAGAATATGTAAAACACACACACACACACACACACACACATACACACACACACACACACACACACACACACACACACTAATTTATCAAAAAAACTTTAACATTATAATTAATTATCCCGAAAATAAAGACGCTCACCGTGATCACAAAACACCATATCGCAAACATTACTATTAATAATTTGTTACGTCCTTGGAAATTAGATATTGAATGGGAGAGACAAGGATGGAGATGGAGAGGATATGGAAGGACATTCAGACTTTATCTCAGGTATACGCGCAGAGGCGAACACCTGATAGTCGGACGTACTTCTTATCGCTCCGGAATATGGGTCAACGTCCTGAAGGGATGCTATAACACCTGTTTCCTACGAGCAGTGTGTATGTCGGTCCGAATTTCGAGTCAAGGAACTCAATCCTTACAACTCGAGACTGGACTACGTGCGATCTCTGAAAGGCGATGGGAGTACGAGGTTTTTGGTTTTTGATGAATTTGGCGCTCAAGCCAGTATACGAGATATATTTCCTTTTTTTGGTAACTTGAGAGTACATTTATTTTACTATGTGTGGCGCTTAAGTCGTTTAATATAAAATTCTATTATAACGATCATGAGCTACGAGCCAATATGATATACGTATATTTGTTACAAAGTTCAAATTAATATATTATAACACATGTTTATATTTGCGCTTGATGAAATAGTATAATGATAAAACGGATCAAATAATAAAAATTCAAAACCTAATAACCTAATACAAAAATTCAAAACATAATAACATAATACAAAAATTAAACGTCGAAAATTCAGTTAGTAACAATGTTCATAATTATACACAAAACGTTTCGACCTATCATGAGATCATCTTCAAGTTGTTAAAATAATATCCGGGATATAATATCTTTAATATATATAAAAAGAATAAAAATTATTATACGTGTATATGTAACATTGGCAGACAACATATCAATTGTAAGATTACAATAGCAAAAATATTAAGACGTAATTTGATGTATCTCCTTGAGTTTGAATGCACTTAGTACTCAGTTTGGAACAGTTCGCTCAATATTACTGTTGATATGTTGTCTGCCAATGTTACATATACACGTATAATAATTTTTATTCTTTTTATATATATTAAAGATATTATATCCCGGATATTATTTTAACAACTTGAAGATGATCTCATGATAGGTCGAAACGTTTTGTGTATAATTATGAACATTGTTACTAATTTTCGACGTTTAATTTCTGTATTATGTTATTATGTTTTGAATTTTTGTATTAGGTTATTATGTTTTGAATTTTTATCATTTGATCCGTTTTATCATTATAACTGCTTCATCAAGCGCAAACATAAACATGCGTTATAATATATTAATTTTAACTTTGTAACAAATATATCATATTGGCTCCTAGCTCATGATTGTTATAATAGAATTTTTTATTAATTGAGCCGTTTATTTGATTTTAACTTGATTATACGTGAGTTTAAAAATGCGTTGAAATACACTACCTTTTTTTTACATTTATTAGACTATATTTCGGTTTACATACGTGTATGTTACTTAAAATCTTTATTAAACTTTTGAAATCTAACACGGCTTTACATATTAAAATTCGATTTCTGGAAGCTTGTCTTAATCTTGAGTTGACTCCGCCATATCTCAACTTTACGAACAGATATGATAACATCATTTTACATAATCATAACTCTGTTAAAGCCTGTTCTACAATAAGACGTATGTCGTTGCCAGATGTCGCTAACCGTATGTCGAATGTTGCATGTCAGATATTATTACTACATATCATTCTACATTTAGTCGCAGTTAGTTGCAGTGTGTCGTAGTGTGAAAAGTGAGGTTATAATTATCAATGAACAATAAAACTTTAATAATTTGTTGCAATTTGCTATTAATTTGGGTACAAATTACAAAAATGAGACTTGTTAAAGAACAAATATCAAGTAAGAAGAAAAAGATGGTGGGTTAAACCTCATATTTCTGTTGATATGCGAGAAAATTTTGGTGCTCATAGAAAACTATTCATCTATTTTAAATTACACGATCACGAAGAATTTTTTCAATTTACATGAATGTCTGTACAACAATTTAATTATTTACATCATCTTTTGGAGCCAAAATTACGAAAGAGGAGTCGCAGAGAACCTTTATCATCAGAAATTCGTCATGCTGTTACATTAAAGTATTGTAATTGATTAAAATTATGTTTATATATATTCACTCTCTTGTCATTTATATATATATATAACCAATCATTTATAAATTTTTAAGATTAGAGACATTATTATAAAACAAATTAATAAATTAAAAGTTACGAGCTTAGGTAAATGTTTATTGCTAAACAAAATATAATTTAAATGACAGACGTTTTGATCTTATACCCGGTCATTATGAGTCTATTGTTTAAACTATATTTTGTTCAAAATTACTAATAAACATCCAGATTTATATACTCCTTGTAATTTGTAGGGGAGGTCGGGGTATTATTGGACACGGGGTATTGTTGGACAGCGCGATATTTTTCCCGTTTGTAACGCTTGGGGTCTCCACCAACTAGCATCGACTCGTCTCATCATAATCTCATTTTCTATTGAGCACTTGACTTGTTTTGACGCATTGTTACCTCGCTATGATAGCAAACAGAATTTTGATGTTTGTAAAGTGTTTTTTTCACTTAGTGTTTTGTTCATTTTGACAACATTTTTCGACGAACCAAGTCAGGTAAATATATTTATAATATTCTTTGAACTTTAAGCTTTCGACGCATATAAGAGTTTTGTATGAAATTTGCATTGTGTTACTTATACGCCGACATGTTGTAAAAATGAGCGTTCGGGGTATTATTGGACACTTAATTCTTGACAGTTCACAACATAACTTCGTGTGTTTGATGCGTATAAGTGATTTTTCATGCATAATTTCAACAAAGCATTAGTTTTTCGGCAATTTCTAATCGTGATCGAGGTGTTCACTTGAGTTGTGCCGGAGCAAACCCGAACACTTTCACGTGCCTTAACTGCGATTCTCAATAATTTTCATCGATATTTTTCACTTTATTTTATTCATTATAATATATTCTTTCCTTTTCATTAACAAATAAACGTTTTCCAGCAATAATTTTCATTTTTTATCGATTTACAAAACTGTCCAATAATACCCCGAGATTTTTGAAAATCTCAAAAACCAGTTTTTTGCGCCAACTGATACAGAGTGTACAATTTTAAACAATTAGGTCAAATTGCTGGTACCAAAAGAAAGGTTATTTATCGTACCACAAAATCAAGCTTTGAAATTTTGAGAAAAAGCAATTTTTTTTAGAGTTTCCGGACAAAATAAAAGTGTGTCCAAGAATACCTCGACCTCCCCTACTCCTTGTAATTAATTAATTTGATTTTTATCCATTTAAGGGGGGAGGGTCATGTAAACAGGCGTTTTTTTACGAATTTATTTAAAAGAAATGAACAGGTTTATTAAATTTTAGTAAAAAAACATCGTAATATTAACAATAAATTCTGTCAGAAAAAATTTTTTTAGTGCTATAAAAATTCAAAATGGCGACGCTACATCTGCTCAAAGATGACTCGTTTTATTTGCGCAGTGCAGGCTACAAGTCGTCTTAATTATCTGAAATAAAAAAACCAAAATTTTTTCGTTAAAATATGATCTTGCGCAAATCTTGAACCTAAATTTAAAAAAAAATCTAAAATTAAAAATTCAGGACACTTTAAAAAAAAATCGATCTTTCTTTTTACAAACAATTTGTTATAAACAATATTTATTATTGATTTTTTAATGATATTTTAGGTTCAAGATATGATCAATAAGTTAAAGAATATCTGTGTAAAATTTGAAGTCGATCGGTCAATTAATTTTTGAGCTAGGTTGCACGGCGTGCGAAAAAATGTGTTTTGAGAAAAACGCGTTTAAAGTTTTCGATAGGAAAAAGTAGTATTCAATTAATGATTAAGTAGACATACCGCTATATAAGTTTAATCTGCAATGCCAATCTAATATGCTTTCCTCCTCTGCGAAATCGTCCATTTGAGCCGTTAATTCCTGTTTTCGAGCTGTCCTGGCCTCTTTTGATCTGCTGTGGCTTCTATGGTTCTGTCTATTCACGCGATTAGTGTCGTACGTATTGGCGAAAGTTTAATGCCAATTTGAGTTTATAACATTAAAAATACATTCTTCAGATGTTAAATGAATTTTATAAACAATAAAAAAAAGTGTCAAAAAATTCGATTTTACATGACCCTCCTCCCTTAAGCTTTAGTTTTTTTAAATTATTATAAACTTCCCATTATTTTTAGTTTCCTTGCTCATGGTGATAGCATTACTACAACGACACGATTTTTTCGTATTGGGAAATCAACCCTATACAGTATTATTCCTGAAGTGTGTAAAGCTATATGGGAAACTTTACAACTGATATATCTACGATGTCCACAGCAAGAAGATGAACGGCTGAAAATTGCAGATGAATTTAATAACATCTGGAATTTTTCAAACTGCATAGACGCAATTGATGACAAACATTATTATATTCAAACTCCGGCTAATTCTGGTAGCGAATTTTATAATTATAAAAACTTCTTTAGCTTTGTATTAATGGCCATTGCTGATGCACGCTATCGTTTTATTTGGGTAGACATTGGGAATTATGGTAAATTTACTTATTTTTATATTATTAAAATGTGTAAGAGTAAAGTTTCTTTTAAATTAAGTTATAAAATATATTCTAATTAGGTTCTTTCAATGATGCGGGAATTTGGTCTCATACCACTATGTGTCAAGCTTTGAAGAATAATACAGCATCTGTTTCACAAGCTTGCTGTTTAGATAATACTAATATTACAATA